ATATATACATACATACTACATTGTATTTATTCATTCACTCGTTGACGGGCATTTTCATTGTTTAAAGGGAATATATTTTGTTGCTTTCTACCTGGAACAATCTCTGGCCTCTTAATGTCCGCAAAGAACCTAGGTCTCAGCCAGGATTTCTGAGGGGCATTAACCTAGTGGGAAGTAACCATTTCTGGGCATTGGAGCTCTTTCTCTTGCACACACTCTCTCTGTCTTAGTCTTTCTCTCTCCTCCTCTCTCCTTTTTTCCTTCTTTTCTCTCTCTCACACACGCACCCCTCTTCAGGGTTTCTCCCTGCATGTCCGCATCATTGAACTCAGAGGAGGAAGATCAAACTGAACCCAGGGAACTGCAGGGGGCTGTGACTCGAGGTAAGCCCCAGGAAAATGTCTGGGCAAAACTTGTTTTCCTGGGACTCAGCTGATCTGCTTCACGATGGTCACTGGGTAAACAGCTAAAATTATCATCACTACTGTGTTAAACTTGCATGACGTAACCACTTTATTCTTCATTAAGTCTTGGTGTGGCTTGTTGGCTTTTTTCTCATTGAGATAAAATACACACCACGTGAAATGAGTCATAACTCTTTAAATGCAGCAGCTTTTCGTATGTTCCCAACACTGTGCAACAGTCACTTCTGCCTAGTTCCAGGATGTTTTTGTCACTCCAAAGGAAATCTTGCACTAAAATTTTTTTAAGGAATTGTTTTCAGAGTTTTACATTTCTGAAGTTTTTAGTACTTCTAAGTTCTAACTCCTACATAAATAGGGCTGAACCCACCAGCAGGAGAAAGAGATTGGTCCGCAATCTCTTCCCATGATATTTTCTGGAGGGTCAGCTATGGGTCAGCGCCAGCTAAACAGCAACATATAAATAGGGAGTTCTGGTGGCCTAATGGGTAAGGAGGTGTGCTTCCAACACAAAAGCAGGCAGTTTGAATCCCCCAGCTCCTCTACAGGAGAAAGAAGGGCAATCTTCTCCCGCGCAACTTATATTCTCTGAAAACCTACTTGGAGGATCAGAAATGAGTCAGTTCTGACCGGAAAGCAATGAGTTTGAGGGTTTTTTTATTTATATTAAGTGAAACGACAACAAATTATGGCAAGCATTGGGAAAGTGTGTGACCGCTCTTTCCTGTTAAGTTGGAACCAACTCAGAGCTGACCCTCATTGCGTTTCTGAGATGACAGAAGAATTGGTGCTTTAGAACTGTGGTGCTGGAGAAGAGTACTTCAGAGCCCATGGACTGTCAAAAGAAAGTGCAGCCAGAGTGTTTCTCCGAGGCAAAGGTGACAAAGCTTCATCTCACATACTTTGGGCAGGTTGCTAGCAGAGGCTATTCCTTGGAAGAAGACTTCATACTTGAAAAGGTAGAGGTCCGGGAAAGAGAAGAGGATCTGAAACCAGGTGGATTGTCATGGTGACTACAGAAATAGGCTCATGTGTGACAGAGATTATGAGGATGGCACAGGATAGGACAGGATTCAGATCTGTTGTTCAAAGTGTCCTGTGAATTGTAGTTGATGTAACAACAAATCAAATAGGAGGAGATTGTCCTCCTCCTCCCTGGGCCCGCAGGTGGATTTGAACCACCAGAAAGCATGACCTTTGGATTTGCAACATAACTCACTTCAATCACCAGAGCTCCCGCACCCCCAAATCTGCGGGAAGCATTAGAAAAAAGCATGATGATCAATATAATTTGTTAATTCATATTCAGCATTTCAGGGTTAATATATACAGCATAGCTGAAGCTGAATAGCCTGGGCTTGGGGGTCACATTTGAAGAACCTCACATTTGAAGAATCTTTTTCAAGTGAAAATGGATAATGTCTTAAGTTAAGACAACATGTACATTTCTTTGAAGTAGCTGTAAAGATTCTATATTGTCCTTACACATTTGTATTTATTTCACTTTTTTCTTTGTTAATATATTTAATATACATGTTTGTTGGTGTCTAGCCTAAACTATTTTAATAAAAGCACTATTTTTACAGAAAAAAAGAGCAATTGAAGGGGATATGTGTGTGCTTATCTTTCAAAGTTCTCACTACTTAACTAGGAAACCTGTTAAGTCCACAGGGTCTTCAGTTGAGTTTCCCAAAGTTGACCTCTGTTGTAGGGGTGAAACCAGTAACCACATCAGTTACAAAAAGTCAAAATTAATTTGGTATGCTGTGTGAAAAGGGGGTAAAAATCAGGTATTGAGTGGAGACTCCGAACTGCCCATTGGGTGGCAACTCCCAAGGCCCAAAATGGCTACACCCTACAGGAGAATCTATACAGGTTACAATATTGACGTTCCCTTTGCATTGAGGGACTAAAAGAGGAAGATTATGCATTTTTTTAAATTTTTTTATTTTATTTTATTATTTTTGTGTGCTTGTACCGTCAAATCAGATCTGACTGGTACTGGAGGAGATTGCCCCTCCTTCCCCAGCAGAGCATCTGGTGGATTTGAACCGTGCACCTCTGGGATTATAGTTGCAGCTTCTTGCCACTAGGCCACCAGAGCTCCCCTAGATTATGCATTTTGCTTCCTGGTTTCTTTGACCTTTGATATATGAAATGTACTAAAACTGGAGTCCTTTAGCTCTCTTCACCCTTCACTAATATTTCCTGTGAGGAGGTGAGCTGAGGTGACTGTAAAATCACATGGGAACATACACACAGTAGTGATTTAGCAAAACAAATGGAAAAAAAAAAGAACCAAGTGAAAAAGGTTTATTAAGGTAATGCAAAGGAGGCATGGTTGGTGAAAAATAGAGCTGGGCTGTGCCAAAGAGTTAAAAGGAAAGAAGGGGGGAAACACTCCAGGACAGTTAGGGATGGACCCAAACTTTTTGACAGGCTGCTGGCATAAAAGGAGAAACCAACTTTCAGTTGGGCACTGCCTTTATGACTCCCAAACTGGCGAGAGTGGCCATAGCCTAGCCCTGCCTAGGGTCCTGTGGGATTGGTCGGGGTTTGGACCCCCAGCATTCCTACAGGGAGCTGCTTCATCAGGATGTGTCTGTTTTTTTACTTTCTATTTCCTCTGAGAAACTGCTTTTAGTCCTCTCCTATGGGAGCGGGAGACACACAGAGAGAGACACAGACAGACCAGGTAGCAATTCTATCCCTGGACAATATGGACAATAAACCCGCATCTACACCTGTGACAGAGACACCAGGCTATTCACAGACACAGGACAGAGGAAATACAAGTGTTACTGAGGCGAAACTGAGAACCAAGTGAATTCCTTTAGTCTCAGGTTATTGGGGGGGTAGAAATGTAAATGAAGGAGGTCATAAGCTGTGTCATTTGGTTCTTTAGAGCTACTTCTCTCTTAAGATGCTAATACTACCCCTGCATAGTAGAGGAGTCTTAACTAGGGAGAGGAAGGGGAGGGGAAACTCCAAAGAGGAAGCATGGGCATTTCCTGCAAATTGATTTTTTGAACTAGAGATGAAACTCTTAGTTAGCGCAGTGCTTAACAGGTGTTTCCGCGGGGCTGAAAGTTTCTCTCTAAGGCACACGGAGAAAAGGATTGTGGGTCGGGCTCAATCCCCTGGAGGAAATTTGGGAGTCAGAGTTGGGCCCTCTCAAGGTTTATTCCCCAGCCAGAGGCCAGAACTGGAGAATTTATGCATCCGTCCCCCTCAGTCTGTTGTACCGTCAGGCACTGTTGCAGCTTCTTGCAGATGGTGCAGAGAAAACGTGAGTCTCACTCACACACACACACACCTGCCAGGCTATAGGCGGGGCATCAGGTCAGTGGGAAAGAGGAAGACCTTCAAGCTGGATTGACACAGTTTACAATGCCCTGCAACAGCAATTGTGAGGATGGCACAGGATAAGACAGTGTTTCATTCTTTTGTAACTCACTGTGAATCAGAGCCTACTTCAGCACACCTAACAACAACATGGCCACGTTTCCCAGAAACGTGTCTGGTCTTCAGACAGCCCAAGAGTAAGGGATCTGCACAAAGAACCAAGAAGAAGCCCTAATTCCAGTCCATTCCTGGAAGCCAAGCTGCAGCTCTGCCTGCAGCTTCCCTCAGATGCCCCCTACATCCTGGTAATAAAATTCCCTGCATATAAGCCAATCCTCTAGATCAGAAGTTATTTTTAACCAAAGCCTTTGCTAACTCACAAAAGTAATGTGAATTGTGGTCAGGGTTCATGCAACTGTCTCCTTCAATGGATGTACAGTAGTAGGTCCTTCACAGAAAAGAAGGCAGTACTTTTCTCTCTAGGTTACCCCAGCAAACCGACCTTCATTCCTTTCATCTTTTTATAATCTCAGCTTGTGTGCTGCCACCTTCTGGACACTGATGGAATGTCAGGACTGCTGGGGCAAGAACACTCGGAGCTGGAACAGGAGGTTTTGAGACAATTGGTGTTGTGTGTTATGCTCTGAGAATTCCTGTAAAGCAGGGGACTACTTTTGCTCTTGGCATCAGCTTGGTATTAAATGTATGGGGAAAAGAATAGTGAATGAATGTACGAAATGGGGTAGGGAGGAGTTGAGTGTGGTCCCTTGACACAGTTTGCACGCAAAGGCTAACCCAAAAGTTGGTGGTTTGAACCCACTTAAAAGTACTGCGAACAAGAAAGGTCTGGTGATATGCTTCAGTGAGGAATACAGCAGAAAACACTGAGCAGATCCGAGTCACCACAAGGTGGAACTGACTCTGCAGTAACCACAACAGAGGGGTGGAATAAGAACTCCAAGGCGCTGGATGTACATAAGAGGGACAGAGATTTTGCATTAGACAATCCAGTCCTAGATCCCAAGTTTCTGAAAAACCTGGAGAACTGCCCTTCTCCTCCAGCATCTCAGCGGTGGGTACCAGGGCTCTGTGAACGGCACAGCAAGGTAGGGAGTTGGGGTGTGGAGGGAGAAATGGGACACAGCACACTCACTCCTAACATTTTCATCCAGGAACTTCCCCCATCTGCTTTACGACTTGATCAGTGAATGTTTCTCACATGTTTCTTAAGCTCAGCTTGTGCCTGTCTGTAGAGTGATGAGTCATGGGATTTTATTTTTATTTGCTTTTTAAAACTCAGAGTAGATGTTGTAACTAAGAGCATGCGTCAATAGCTCAGGAGATAGTGGTTGGCACCAGGACCCATTCCAGCCCCAGGGAACTCTGCTCTGGACCTGTGAGGATAGTACAGGACCTGGGAAAGTGATAGCTTTGTACAAATTATCAAGAAAGGGCTTTCCCTTCCTTCCTCTGTAAGTAGGTTAGGAGAAGGGAGGTTTCCAAGGCAGGCATGCCTCTAAGCACCAGTCCTGGCAGGCAGTACTGTCAGGCGGCAGAGGGGTCAGCTGCCCTGGAAACAGCCCCTATGGACAAATCCAAGCTATTCTTGCATGGTACAACCAGGTCCCTCTATGGGTTCCTCTGGGCACGAAATGGGCCACCCTGGAAGCCAGCTTACAGCCAACCTCTCTGAGCCCCAGCCCCTTTCACTGACTACCCCTCTTCTAAGTCTAACCAGACTTAAGACTGAATCTGCAGTAGGCAATGGCATTGCAACAAACAAGAAAGTAATTGCAAGTTAACCCTTCTACAAATATCTTGAAATAGTTGGACACTAACACTTCATAATGCTATTGTTGTTGTTACTAGGTGTCGTTGAGTAGAGTGCAACCCATAGTGACCTTATGAACAACAGATTTGAACCTTGTCCTATTCTGTGCTATCCTCACTCTTCCTGACGCACTAGAGCCCATTGCAGTAATCTCTGTGTCAATCCACCTGGCTGAGGGTCGTCTTCTCCTTCACTGACCCTCTGCCTTTCTAAGTATTGTGTTCCTCTCCTAGGAGTAGCCTCTCCTAGCAACATGCTCAAACTATGTGAAGTGAAGCTTTATCTATCATCTTGGTATCCAAAGAGCATGCTGGCTGCACTTTCTCCAAGACGTATTCATTTGTTCTTTTGGCAGTCCATGGGATGTTTATACTCTTCTCCAACACCACAGCTCTAAGTTCTTCTCTTATCCTTATTCATTGTCTAAGCTTTCAGATGCATAGCAATTGACTGGAAATACCATGGCCTGAATCAGATGCACTTTAGTTCTCAAATTGACATCATTACTCCTCAATAATTTGGAGAGATCCCTGACTGCAAACTATCCCAGTGCAATACATCTCCTAATTTGCTGACTACTGGTGCCAAGAGTGTTGATTATGCATCCAAGTAAGATGAAGTTGTTGACAGTTTCAATCTTTTTCCATCCATCATGATGTTACCTATCTAGTGGTAAGAATTTTCATGTTCTTGACATTGAGATGCAATACATCTTGAAGGCTGTATTCTTTGATCTTATGCAACAAGTCCTTCAAGTCTAGCAACTTATGGATAGAATCATAAAAACTAACCTTGCAATTAGTGAATGCTAACTTCTCACAATACCCTGCATTAATGTAAAACTAACATCCTCTTATATTATTTTTAAAAGAAAAGGCTTTCTCCTACTCTAGGGATTAATGATATTTTTCCCCCTCTTAGCCCAGCAAAGTAACTCATGAAGAGGTCTCCTTATCAAACTAAAGTTCTTTTTTTTACAATTGCCTGTCATCTCTTGCAATCGATAGCTGACAGTAACTCCCTTTGGCAAGAATCTGCACTGTAATCCCAGAGGTACATGGTTCGAATCCACCAGATGCTTTGCTGGAGAAGGAGGGGCAGCGTCCTCCTGTACCAGTCAGATCCAACTTGACGGTACACACACACAAAAATAAAAAGAATAAAAATTTTAAAAAAACTTCTACTTTTTCCTACTCCCATTCTGTGTATCAGATTGGTTTTACTAATAGCAGCCAGAAGAATCATAGCTTTACCCTAAAAGCACTGCCATTCTGCAACCCTGTTGAGATTTCTCTAGGCAAGCATTTATCATTATCTCCTCAGTATCCTCTCCCAACATACACCTACATCCTCACTCTGTCCTGGTGTCTCCATGGTGTAGCAGAAGCTCACAGCAAGAGACTTTGTCAGAAACTATCCAGAGGTATCAACTTGTTTATTCCTCACAGCAACACCATGGAGTACAAACTATTTTCATTTTGTAGATGAGAAAACTGAGGGTCAGAAAGTAAAGTGACTTGCACATAGAACTTGAACCCAGACCTAATTTTTTATGTGCTGTAAAGTCAACAGTGACTCATGGTGACCCGATGCACCATGACCCTATGCTCTGAACCCTGCCCTATCCTGAGCCAATCTCACTGTCTCCAACACACCTACCTCCATTACCCCAGTTATTGTTTCAATCCATCTCATCCAAGGTGATCTTCTCTTGTGCTGTCTTTCCAACCTTCCAAGCATGATGTCCTCCAAGGACTTGTCCCTCCTGGCCACTTGCCCAAAGTATGTGAAATGAAGCTCCATAATCTTTGCCTTCAATGCACAACTTGGTTTCACCATCTCCACGACAGATCCCTTAGTTCTCTTGGTGGTCCATGGTATGTCCAATACTTTTCTCCAACACCACAACTCAAAGCCATTGATTCTTCTTCTGTCATCCTTAGTCATTGCCCAACTCGCTGATGTGTAGCAAGTAATTTCAAAGACCACGGCCTGGATCAGGTGCATCTTAGTCTCTAAATGGATACCCTTGCTCTTCAGCACTCAGGAGAACAGATTCTCCCCAGTGCAATTACTCTTTTCCTTTTCTGACTACTGGTGCCAAGAGTGTTGATTGTGGAACTGAGCAAGATGAAATCATTAACAACCTCAATCCCTCTCCAACTATCATGGTGCTGCCAATTGGCTAGTGATGAGAATCTTTGTTTTCTTGATATTGAGCTTCAATCCATATTAAAGACTGCAGTCCTCGACCTTCTGCAGCAAACACTTGAGGTCCTTCTCAGTTTCAGAAAGCAAGGCTAACACAGGTTCCTAAGGATCTTCCTACAATCATAAAGTCCAGCCTCTCGAAAGATCTGTTCCACATATAGATTGAAAAGGTATGAAGAAGATACATCCTTGACTCAATCCTTTCTTGATTTTGAACTAGGCAATCTTTCCTTTCTCTGTTCTGACGACTATTTCCTAGTCCAAGTACAGGTTTCGTATGAGCACAGTCAGGTGAGCTCATCAAGCAGAAGAGGTGGCAAGGTTGTTCCAGGTGGAAAATCCCAGCTCATAGGAAGACTGATGGGGAAGAGAAAGTAAGGTACAATGGAGGATTTATCAGAGAAAATGAGTGCATTTCCCCAGCACTCAGGGACAGAAAAAATCAGTTGGGTGACTCTGCTACTAGAAAGGTCAATCTCGTATGTTGAGTGGACACCTGTTCTGGGTTCTGCCACAGCGTAAGGCACAGAAAAATACATGTCAGGTACAAATTCTCTTTGTATGCAGTATGCTTTTTCTCACACTGGGAAGACCACAACCATTGAGGGGTTTTGTTTGTTTTTTTCTGTGCAAAATTACTTTTCTAAAATTATTTTTTAATTTTATTTTATTCATTTTAATGAATATTTACAGAGATTTTGAATTTCCTTTCATTCATTGTTACACTTTTCTCCCTGCCCACCCCTCTCCCCTACCAGTTCACGCCTCTCTTTGAAAAGTAAAAGAAAAATTCTTTCATTGGTATACAATCCCTCTGCACCCCACCACCACCACCCCTGGACCCTCCACTATGCAACCTTAATTTTGAACTCTTGTGATAACCATAATACCCTATCATGTTGCTTTTAAATTGTTCTCTCCCTCATCTGTTTCAATGCAGTATACATAATTTATCCAGTTTTTCTCAGTCTTACCCCAACCCTGATGTCAGTCCCATTCTACAACAGTGGCACCATGCAGTGGCAAAATTACTTTTAATGTAAAAATAAAGGTTGCTTTTAATCACTCCAAGTTAACAGAATATTAGCAAACAACCACTATATATGTAATTACTGACAAATTCTGAATTCCAAGAAACCAGGCATTATACAGTAAAATTATATTTAACCAGGTCCTACTGCTTTTGCTTTATATTGTCCCTGTTGCCTCCTTTTATACATCTTTGCCATTATTTCCATTTGTTATATATTTATTTTTAAGAAACAAAAGTTAATATAATTTGGGACTAAATTAAGAATTTTATGCATTTTAAGTACACTGCAATTGTTAACAATATTTTTTTCCTTTGAATTTTTCAGACTTTTCTGAGTTCAGGCATCTATTACCAAAAAACACTTACAGAACTAATTTTTTTTCCATGTTCTTGCAATGGTGAATAACACTTCTATGAACATTGGTGTACAAGTCTCCATTTGTGTCTCAGTTCTTTTTTTAATTTTATTAATTTTAATGCACGTTTACAGAGGTTTTGGATTTCCATTCATTCATTGTTGTATTTTTCTCCCTGCCCACCCCTCCCCTCCAGTTCGCACTTCTCTTTGAAAAGTGTAAAGATACCCATTGAGTTTTAAAGGCCAGAGTTTGAGTACGTCTAAGTGACCATCTATCTGCCAGTGAGTAGTCAAAGCCTCACTTTGAATACGTCCAGCAACCCATAGCTTTCTATCTCACAAGGCAGCCTTTCCCACAGCCAGCCACCCACAGGAGTGAGAACTGTATTCCTTAATCAAGGGGCATTTGCTTCTTTAGCATTTCCCCATTGTCCTGTTTCCTTGTTGAGAGTTAGTGACATGAAAGCATTCCAGAATCTTCTCCATGCAACAGCCTCTCATAATTGAAGACCATGCTAACTCTTGCCTCCACCTATATCTGGCTCTCCTTTGCAGACGGGAAGAACATTGGGCAATGCCAGAATGCAGGACGGACAGATGTGAGGGAAGAATGTTTAAAAGTGAGATTGCTGTGGCTGGGGTTGTCATGACTGGGGGGTGAAATCCATGTTTCGAGAAGAGAAATCATCCCAGCTAGATATTGAAGCAGAGGAAGTTCAGCTAAGAGAGAGGAACTGGCATTCTGGAAGAGGTGTTCATCCCAGACAAAAGCATTTCTAGAATAACCTACTTGTTTTGTTTCGCAACCTTGCTTTTCCTTAATGAAAAACCACATCAGCAATGAATGAATGGAAATCCTAAGCCTCTGCACACTTTCATTAAAATTAAAAAAAGGGAAAAAAACCAAAAGTTTTGAAAATGCAGATGAACAGAAGAAAATAAAAAGATCTTTAGTTCTACTTCCAGAAAGAACTCAATAATTTTTAATTTTCTTTTTACCTTCATATGTTCTTAAGGCGTACGCCAGGGATGCATCCTATCTCCATACCTTTTCAACCTATATGCAGAACAGATTATCCGGGAGGCTGGGCTCTTATGAGGAGAAATGTGGGGTCAAGATCGGTGGACGATTTATCAACAACCTGCGTTATGCGGATGACACAACCCTGCTTGCTGAAACTGAAGAGGACCTGAAGCACCTGCTGCAGAGTGCCAAGGACTGCAGCCTACAATATGGATTGAGGCTCAATGTCAAGAAGACAAAGATTCTCACCACTGGACAAATTGGCAGCATCAGGATGGATGGTGAAGAGATTGAGATTGTTCACAGCTTTAGTTTGCTTGGCTCCGTAATCAACAGTCTTGGCACCAGTAGCCAGGAAATTAAAAGGCGCATTGCCATGGGAAAGTCTGCTGTTAGGGACCTCTCCAAAGTACTGAAGAGCAATGGTGTCTCTCTGGAGACTAAGGTGCGTCTGATACAGGCCATGGTCTTCACAATCACCTGTTATGCATCAGAGAGTTGGACAATGACCAAGGAGGATAGAAGGAGAATTGATGCCTCTGAGCTGTGGTGCTGGAGAAGAGTATTGAGAATACCATGGACTGCTAGGAAAACAAACAGATTTGTCCTGGAAAGGGTTAAACCGGGTGGCTCCTTGGAGGCAAGGATTCTGAGGCTCCGTCTAACATAATACTTTGGACATGTGAGGAGAGATCGGTCCTTGGAGAAGGACATCATGCTTGGGAGGGTGGAGGGACAGTGCAGGAGAGGAAGGCCCTCTATGAGGTGGATTGATTCAGTGACTGGGATAATTGGGATGGGAGTGTCAGAGACAGTGCGATTGGCACAGGACAGAGCGGAGTTTAGGGCTGTTGTACATAGGGTTGCTATGAGTCACAAGCGACTCGACGGCACATAATCATGACATAACAATAACAATGTTCTTAAGACTTTTTTTTCTCTATGTGTGTGTAGTGCGGCTCACATGGCTCATATTTTTTTTATAGACTTGGTTATTTAGTACACATCTTTTTTAAATTTACTTCATTTTTTAAAATTTTATACTGACTTATTTACAAAGCTTGACTACATTGTTTTGTACCAAAGATCCTTTCCATTTCCTTCACCCAACACACTCATTGAATTATGCAACCCTAACTACACATCTTTTTAAAAAATGTTTCAGGTTATGCACCTCACTTTTCAAAGTCACATGAATCGTATTATCTATCAACTATTCTAAGGACCACTGGTAGTCTAGTGGTAAGAAGCTGAGCTGCAGTCCTGACGTTACGGTTTGAAACCACCAGCTGCTCCGATAAGCACTCTTCTCGTTGGGATTAGCTGCCTCTCAAAACCCTCTGGAGGGTGAGCTATGGTTAGGTTCCAACTCGATGGCACACAATAACAATGACAGCAGCTCCATGGAAGTCTACTTCTGAAAGATGTACAGCCTTAGAAACTTGACAAGGCAGTCGTGTAAGATTACGAGCCATAAATATGGCTCCTATTTTGTTCCACATCACTTTTCATTCAAAACAAATGCTTCTGGCCACAAAGCATTTTTTTTCCTCCATAAAGATTAACAAAGGAGCGGAAGCCCATCTGTGAGGTGGATTGACGCATGACCACTGTCAGAACTTGCGTACAGCAGAGATTGTAAGGCTGGCCTGGGGTCAGGCAGGGTTCCACTCTGCTGTAAGTGAGGTCCTGGATCAAAGATGATGCAGTGGCACCTAACAATAATAATAGCATCATTTTGAAAGCTACATTCAACTTTCCTTAGGTGAGTATACCATCATTCATTTAATCAAATGTCAGGTGTGGGGGAATGCCCTTCATCTTTTTGAACAAAGTTGAAATTAAGTCTCGGTATTCAAGACCTGGTGGAGGGCCTTTGTATTTAAAAGTTGGTTGGGCCCTCAGGCCTGATGTTAATCATGTTTGGGACAACATTCTTCTAAGTGGTACACCACCAATCTGTCAATTTGCTGTACTGAGGTAACTTGGGTTTGCTGTGATGCTGAACACTGTGCCACTGGTATATCAAATGTCATAATGGTTACCCATGGGGGACAATATTTGCTCAAACTCCCAGATTAAGACAGGCTTGGAAGCAGGAGTGGCATCCACTTCCTACACATCATGCCTCTGGAAATTCTATGAACTTAGAGAAATGATGAGAGTTATAGAACAGGGTTCAGATCTTTTGTTCTTAGGATCACGCTATGAGTCATGCTCACCTTGACAGTATTTAACAACAACAACAACATTATTCTTTTAAAATTACAGATGGATTCCTACATATCTGCAGTCTCACATACTTCAGGAGATCCACTCACAACAAGTTCCTTCCCATTGGCCCTTCTGAGAATCCTCTGTCCACAAAGCCAACAAGGTTGCAGTTAATCCTCTTGGCCAGTCAGCCATCTTGGTCCAGAAACTGCTCCTCTTCACCCAGTGGTTCTCCTTAACTTGGCAATTGGTTACCTGTTTCTCTAGCCCATGACTTCCCCGTTCCATAATGTCCCTAGAGCATCAAAGACCCGGTATCTATCATGGTTCAGGAGCACAGATATCTCTTCAGTCTTTCCAACCAAGGGAATTTGATACAACCTGGCCAGAGTCACTGTCTACTAGGAGCTGAAGTCTCAAAGAGATACAGCCATTACTGGGGAGATCACTCAAAACAAAACAACTCTTTGCTATGGAGTCAGAGTCTACTTATAGCTGACCCTCCAGCAGACCTTCAAAGGCTATAAATGTCATGCAAGGAGATTGCTCATCTTTCTCTCTTGGAGCAGCTGGTAGATTCAAACTGCCTATCTTTGGGTTGACACACTCCTCCTTACCCAATAGGCCACCAGAGCTCCCTCAAAGGAGAGAAAAGTAGGCGAAACATCCTGACTTCTCTCCCCCAGCTAGCTAGTCTTTCTCCAAAAACTCCCATTGACTGAACCTTCCAGGAAGCAGTTGACAAATAATCCTGGGACATGCAGTTTCCGGCAGTCTAGGAAGTGCTTGTTAAAACACAGTATAGGTTTGGCTCTTTTGAATAAACTTTGCCAAAAACTCGGAGATGAAAGAAAGAACACAATTATAATCCAGAAAATTTTTTAAAAGGTTTAAGTGTAAATTTTTGGATGACACACAGCTCATTATGTGCAGAAGCCAGACCATTCATGATTCTTTGTGAGCCAACCAGAGACTTGGCCTACTGTTAATGTGACTGGGCACAGCCAAATCCACCTGGTGGACAAGGCTCTTTGAACATGTCCACACTAACCTTAAAACCTCTAAGGTCCCCAACAAGCAGAAGAAAAGCATTTTCCCTCACATTCTCTCCCAAACACCCATCCCAGTGAATCATGTCAACCTTTCTAGATGACATGGAAACCCCACAGGTTGGCTGAGAAGCATGAGTTTTCATTGGCTCCCAGCAGCAAACCATTTGTGGGTGTTGTTTTCCCCCCCATCTCAGACAAGCAGGAAGACCTACTCAAGTTTGAAATCAGTCTTCTTCTAACCTGTTACAGATCCAGAGACTCAAATAAGGGTGCTTGGACACACATACCCCCAGCACCCCACGAGCCTCTCAAAGAGAAAGCTGTCACCAAGCCCAGTGTCTAACATGAAGGTCAGGCGCATGTGGCACTAGAAATAGTACCAGGCTCCATATACCTCTTTCTACTAGAACAGAGGCAAGAAGGCATAGCTTTTCCTTTGCTTCATGGAACATTCTGGAACTTCCCCACCTCCCTTCCTTGATCATTTCCTTTCTTCAGTGTAATCACCTGAGAATGGAACAGCTGGGGTAAAAGATAGGTATGTATTGAGGCTTTTGATATCGACTGCCAAATTGCTTTCTGATAAGGCTGTGTGTACTGGGTTATTATTATTACTGCCTTCTCTGCCTCTCAACTCCTTGATTAAACCACTGAAGAGTGTTGAGGTGAATCTAGTCCCAGTCGTCAGACCAGATAAACAAGCCAGCCTGTCAGTGTGGCTGTCCTCTGCAACTAGGAAGGGAACTCCCTTGGATCCCGCCCAGCACATGGAATTCTGATGAGCACAACCAGGCACCTTTGTACCCCTGCTCCCAGCAGCCCAGGTCCCACCCTCTCCCCAGACCCCGCCCCTGTGCCCAGGTGGAGCCGGCTGCCAAGGCGGCAAAGCTTCCCAGGCCGAGTGCACCGTACATGGCCCGAGTGGAGGCTGAGACGGTACTCCATGCTGAGCCCAGTGAGGACTCTCCTGACCATCCTGGCCGTGGGATCTCTGGCGGGTGAGTGCCCCCCATCCCGTGGTGAGACTGCCTCCTCTTTGCCCTCAGAGAACAGAGATCTCTATTCCTTAGCCCCAGAACATCAAGTTTCAGTTTCTCCTCTGCTGGGGCAGAGTTGAGTGCCAGGTTTTCCTAGAAAATCAAATGCCTGCCTAGTTTGGGGTGCTGGGCAGGGGATGAGGGTGCTGGGATGGGGGTGGGAAGACAGCAGCTGTCTGGATTGGGGTCCTAGCTCTCCTCACCCCGGTGGATACAGAGCTGGCCTGGGGACACGGCTATCCGTAGGTCCCGGTCCCTTCTACTCACTGTGGCAGAAGTTGTGTATCCAATCCTCTGCTTCTGGCTGGCATTTGCCTGATGAAAGGAAGCAGGGAAGGGGTGCAACGGACAAGCTTGACTTCTCAGGTGCCATCACTTTGTCCCTGTGAGACGTCTACCATTCCCAGCATTTTCCTCCCAGAGTAGACAGGCATATATTATTTTACTGGTTTGGAGTCAGCATTATACAGAACTTTCTGACAGAAGGGTGACTCTAGTCTGTGTTTCTGACCCTGAAATGCAGGGAGCCTTGTCAGGATGTTCAAATGTGGACTAAAGTAGGGAAGGATGATCTTCCAGTGTAAGTGAAGGATGACACATCGGCCCAGGAAAGGCTGGGCTTTCTCCTGTGCTGTCCTGAGTGAGTGCTGACTGGGCCTAAGCAGGGGACAATTCTATCTCAGCCCCCACTCACCTCTAGTCCGCCCTCCCCTGCCACCAAGCTGGGCATCCTCAGCATGGCCTGCAATGGGCCCTGGGAGATGTGCTGCATCCCTAAGAGATCCCAAAGGCCTCTCTGTGCTCATTTGGGGCTGTTGAGGCTTCAGGCCCTTTTAGAGGGGGAGACTCATGGAAAACAGCCCTGAGCAAACTGCAAGGGGTCGGTAAGGTCACTTTGTGGTCCCTGAAGAGCAGAGAGGCTCTGATGGTGTAGTGCTCTGATGGAGCACTGCTAATCAGGTGGTCAGTGGTTCAAGCCCACTCCACAGAAGAAAGATGAGCCATCTCCTCCTGCAAAGATTTATAGTCTTGGAAACCTGGTAAAGGGGTTTGTTATGAGTAGGAACTGGGCTTAGGGTGGCACAAACATCAGAGATTTGAACTTCAATGCACCTTAGAAGAAAGACCTGGTGATGCACTTTAAAAAATGCCCCAGGATTGAAAACCCCGTGGAGACAGCTGTTAACTCTGCACACATGGGTTACCGTGAGTGGGAACTGACTTGACTGCAACCAGTAAGGTCATTTTGTGGTTCCTCCACTCTCCACCCCACCTCTGCATCCTGCATTTTTAAGCTAATTCCGGAGAATGTTGCATTGCTTTATGTTTCCTTAATTTCTCTAATAACTGACAAATTTGTTTTTCAAGCCAAACGTGAAAACTTTCCTCTTACAAGGTTTACCAGGCTGCTAGATTCTACTGCATACATGTCAAAGGGGGTTAAAATGGAGAACTTCACACCAGAAAGTACAGTGATGACATAGAAATGGATGACTTGAGGAGGAAAAAGACCAAAGGAGGCCCATCTCCCCTAAAAGAGAAAGCTGGCTCCAGCCCCTACCCCTCTTTAGGAAACCAGCTTTAGTTCCCTTCTGGAAAATGGGGCCAATTTCACCTATTCCAGGTGCCCCACCTCTGTTCCTAGCATCGCTCCAGCTCAGACAGCCTCTCTGCTCTTCTCCTGGGACACCCACCCAGCCAGCAACCTTCCCACTGATACCCTAAGGCACCACCAGGAGAGGCCAAACCCAGCTCAAGATACACTGGACTCAGTCCCTTTGGGCTAGCCCTGAATCCAGGGCCCCCATCTATCTCCAGTCCCATGAAAATTCATATCTGAGCAGCACAGGCTTAGCTTTGCACCCCTACAGCCCCATCTGGAGTTTCCAGGAAGGCTAGAGACAGATTTCTGCAACGACTGAATGCAGATTCAGAGACGAAGGTCACCTTGGACTTAGTCAATGATACACAGCACATTGGACTATCCTAATATTCTTCCCCTTCCCCACAGATCCTTCTTTCAGAAATATTGTTAGATTGAGTTGTTGTTGTTGTGTACCATTGAATCGAAATGGACCATAGCCAACTCTCTGGAGGATTTTCAGAGGCAATTTAATTGCACAGAAGGAGATTGACCATCTTTCTCCTGTGGAGCAGCTGGTGGTTTTAAACCTCGTGCCTTCAGGATTGCAGAACAGCTTCTTACCACTAGGTCACCAGAGCTCATGAGGGAGGCAAGTAAGATAACTATCCACTCCCACTAACTCTGGGCCTGCCAGTGGTGACAGACATGTTCTCCCAGGGGTCACACATGCACACATAGTATACTCGCTCCCTCAAAAACATATACACACACAAGTCCTCAAGACTTTATTTAACTGAGTCAGCACCTGCTTGCTTCCCAGCCCAGTCAGCCAGGCCCTTCTGAGCATGCTCAGAACCCCATGCCAGCCCTGGGCGTCCTTTCCCCAATTCTTCCTCATCAAGGCCATACTTGGAAGACCCACATAGGGAATTTGCATGTCACGGATTTTAATTTACAGTAAAGATAGCCTCAGAGGCAGCAATCCCTCATGCAGCCCCTTTATTGAAACCTAAGTCATTGCTGCCTTTTGTTAGTTATAATATCAATGTCTGGGCAAAGGACCACCAGAATTGTCAGAACCCATTTCTCTCCCTCCACCCTTTCTGAGCTGATCTCATTACAAAGGGCATGGACCACTGATACTCCTTCCACAATGTGAGAGAGTGAACAGCAAAATCTCTCAAACTCTGAGGAATCCCAGGTCCCAACCCCTAGTCTTACACCTCTTCCATCACCAATTGTTGTTGTGTTTTCTTCAGAACTGACCCATAGCTGGCCCTCCAGTGGGTTTTCAGAGGCAGTTAATTGCATGGGAGGAGATTGTTCATCCTTCTCCTTTTACTTCGTGATAAATATTTCACAGACACTGCTCCACAACCAATGTCACCACTGGGAGGGGTGCTGCAGGAGGTGACACTTGCTAACATGACACTGGGTAAATGATCTTCTCTGTGCCTCAGTTTTTCCCATTTCATACATACCCACAGAGCCACTGGTGAATGAAAATCCTCAGAAAAGGTTAACTCCACAACTCCCTTGGACTGAGGAGCTCTGGTGACATCACTGAATGCATCAGCAGCTACATGGGAGAAAGATGGGAAATCTTCTCCCATATAATTAAACTTCCAAAAGTCCACTGGACCGTCAATTATGAGTTGGTTCCAACTCAATGGCAGTGTATTTTCCTTTTTAAAAAAAAAAAAAAACAAAATAAAAAACAACTCAGGCTGTATAAGAAATTAGTGCCTGGGGCCTGCCAAGCCCTTCATAAATGGTAACTACCATTAAGGTCTTTTCTTCTCCTGTAAATAAAGCAAGATTCTTCCCTATTGTCAATTCCACAATATCTGACAAGAACAACAAGGCAACATTATACCCATTTTAGAGACAAGGAGATTGAGATTCTCCGACTTCTCCAAAGACATCTAACTCTCCATGGCCTCAGTCAATATCTTACCTCACTCCAAGCCTGCGTGATCTGTGGAGGTGCCTTGGCCTTAATGAGAAGGCAGTGTAGTGGGGCGTGCAAGACTCTGTTTGGCAAGCAGAAAAGTGGAGATTCAGGTCTACCCTTTGCACCATGGTGTGAAATGATTGATGTGGGACAAGTGCCTTTTTAATCTGTTTTAGTCAGATGTCTCTGAACTTATTTCTGATTGTGTTGAGACAGGCATGAGAAGTAATGACAAAGACGGCTAGAATGTCGAGAAATGCGGGTCCTTCAGAAGTAGGAATGTTAACTGGGGTATCCGCTTTGGAAAACATGCTAGCAATTCCTCTAAAAATTAAATACAGAAGTATTGGGGGGAAAACTATTGATGCATCAATTCCAACTCGAGGTAGTGCTATGTCTTTGGAGGAGAACTGAGCTTACTTACTAGGGTTTTCTCACTGTATTTAATCCTCCAGGGAGCAGATTGTCAAGCTTTTCTTCCTTGGCCCCACTGGTTGATTTTGAACTGCCAAACCTATGATTTTGAAGCTCCATCTCACATACTTTGGGCACATGGCCAGGATGGACCAGTCCCTGGAGAACATCATACTTGGAAGGGGAAAGAGACAGTGCAGGAGAGAAAGACTCTGGATGAGATGGATTGATACAATAACTGGGGCAACGGGGGCAGGACAGGGCAGGCTTCAGAGCTGTTGTACATGGGGTCACGATGAGACACAGGCAGCTCAATAGCACATAAGACAACACTGTAACAAATTGCAACAAGTGCAAATTGTTTGTGCCACCCAGGGACGTGGAGGTGCTGTACAGCAGCAATCCCACTTCTGCACTCAGGAGTGGAAACACATGTCCACATAAAAGCTTGTACACAAATGTTCTTATGAGTATTATTTATAAAATCTATAAAGCAGAAATAGCCCATCAACTAATGAATGGTATTAAATAAAAATGCATATGGTATAAAACAGTGGGATAATGTTATAAAAAGATTTTTCAAAAACCCACAACAAATCTAAACCCACTACCATCAGGTCAGTTTCTTGAGTCAAGAATTTTGACCCTCCGCTGGGTTTCCAAGGTTGTAAATCTTTACTGGAGGAAAGGGCTCAACTTTCCCCCGTGGAGAGACCATGCGCCCTGCAAGCCTTTCAGTGAGCAGCCCAGTTCACGACTCACCACACTCCCAGGGCTGCTTTGTATCAGCTATAATCCATATAATGGAATAGTTTTCAGCTATAGAAAGAAGTCAAGTGCTGACACCTGCTACCAGATGGATGACCCTTAAAATATGCTAACGGTTAGGCCACAAAAGCTCACAGATGGTTCTATCCTATTTATATGAAAAGTCCAGAATAGATGAATCCATGGAAACGCTAAGTAGATGAGTGTTTGTCAGAAGCTGCAGGGAGAGGAGAATAAGGCACGACTTCCAAGGGTACAGGATTCCTCTATTAGTGATGAAATTGTTCTGGAATTTGGTTGCTCTGGTGACGTATGTAGTCCACAGATAACTCCGAACACTGAGGCGGTATTTTTCTGGCAGACAGAATCCACCTGTGACCCCACAGGAGAGAAGAAGGCATTCTCCTCCTGTGTGATTTACAGTCTCCAAAAGCCCAGATGGCTGGAGGGTCAGCTGTGAGTCAATTCCTGTTTGACAGCAATGAGTTTAATGGTTGCACAGGAGCCCTGGTGACCCAGAGGTTAAAGTGTTTGGCTGCGAACCAGAAGATCCATGTTTTGAACCCACCTGCAGCTCTGCAGGAGAATGACAAGGTAGTATAGATTTACAGCTCTGGAAATCCTATGGAGCAGTTTGACTCTGTCCTATAAGTCACCATGAGTAAAAATTTCCTTAACAACAATGAGATTGGTTGTACAGCTTGGTGAATATATTAAGAATCCAGAATTCTATGAAAGGGTGAATGTTATGGTGTGTGAATTATATCTCGATACAAAGATGCAAAAGTTAATTCAATATATCCCAAGAGAATGAGAACTGAGGCACAAAAGGAGACTTGTATACCAATGTTCATAGCAGCATTATTCACCATCGCAAGAACATGGAAACAGCCCAAATGTCCAATCACGAGTGAAAGGATTGAGAAATTGTGGTACATTCACATGATGGAATACTACGCAGCAGGCAGGACCAATGATATTGTAAATTACTACCTAACTTGGGAGAGACTGGAGAGCATTATGCTGAGAGAACTAAATCAGTCCCCATAAGGACAAATAATGTATAAGACCATTATCATAGAATGAGGATCCAAAAGGGAGGGTGAGCAGAAGAGGGGTGGGGGTGGGAGGGTGGTTAATCACAGGGTTATACAGTTCGATGGGTGGAAGAGGGGTTAATCACAGGGTGGCACAGTTTAATGGGTGTGGGGGTGAAGGAAATGGAAAAGAACCAATGTGAAAAATAATGTGTACCATTTATGGTTTCTTTATCAATAAACCAGTAAGAATAAAATAAAAATTCAAAAAGTTAACTCAAGCTGCAAGTGGTCAGTACAGTCTCCATGCAGAATGTTAGTTCAAGGTTTTGTGAACCCATCTGCTCACTCTACTCTCATTCTCCTGTAGACCGCATCGCTGAGGACACTTCGAATCTCCTTCAGTATGTGAAATTCCAGTCCAGTAACTTTGAAAACATCCTGACCTGGGACAGTGGGCCTGAGAGCACCCAAGACACGATCTACAGCGTGAAGTATAAGAAGTAAGCTTCCCTCATCGCCCAACCCTCCTCTGCAAACAAGCCCTCTAGGGAAATCCCCCCCTTTACACATGCCTTGTTAACCCGCCTGGACAGAAGCCATGCAGCCACTCCCAGACAGGGCTCTGCCACTTTTGTCTCGTTTGCAAAAAGAGAAGAAAATAATGGTTAAACATACAGGCTGTCAAATCACACTGCCTGGCTTGAACGCCACTTGCCTGTGAGACTTAACCTCACTGACCTCCGTTTCCCCATATGCAAATTAGAATAGCATTAGTACCTTTCTTACAGGGATACCCCAAATAAAATCTAACCTGTGACTGTCAAGTGAATGCCCACCGTTAGCGACCCTAGAGCACGGAGCAGAACTGCCCTACAGAGTTTCCAAAGCTGTAATCTTCCCAGAAGCAGATGACCTCATTTTTCACTGATGAATTGAAACCACCAGCTTTTTTATTAGAAGCCAAATGCTTGCTCCACTGCACCATCAGGTGGATTAAATTGGATGAATCAAGTCAAGTGATTGTCATTAAGTAGAACTGACTCATAACTGACTCTCCGATGGGTTACTGAAGCTTTAGATCACACGAGAGGAGAGTGCCCGTCTTTCTCCAACAGAGCCACTCATGGATTCAAACAGCCAGAGGAGTGTGTCCTTTTGGGTTTAGCAGCAAAACTCCCTGTGGGCTGACTATACCCCAAGGACTCCCTAAATTATATGAAGAATGCAGTTAAGATTTTTGTTAAGCACATAATAAGCCATCAACAATTGTTTTCTTACTATTGGCCACACTGGAATATCCAAAAGCTGTGCCTTCCCCTCACCCTCCCACCTTGCACCTGTCATCTCAGCCAAGCCCACAGCCTCATTCATGTTTTTTTCTTCCTGAACAGGGGAAGAGAGTTGGCACAGGATCCAGAGTCTGCAAATCTGGGTTCCGTTTCTGGTGCTGCCACTTCATCCTGTGGCAAGCGCACTCCCTCTCCCTAAGCCTCACTCTGATCCCTCAGCTTTAAAGTGGGAATAATGATGCCCACCTCAGAGAATTATAGGACAGAGAATTAAGAAGATGAGCTCAGACTGACTGGGTTCAAATCCTGGCTTTCCTGGCTCCCCACATGTATACTTACTTAGATACTTGGCAATTTTACTCTTGTGAACGTCAGCTTCCTTATTTTTAAAAAAGAGGGAGAATGATGGACAAGCTAATTGAGGTACCCCACCTAAAGGTAAAGCGAAGGAGAAGAAGACTCCCAAAGAGATGGACTAACACAGTGCTAAATGGGCATAAGCCCAGTGGGACTGTAAGAATGGCACAAGGCCAGTAGGGGTTTCCATCTATCATACCTGGATACAGTCACCATCCAGTATAGTCCAGTGAGCAGCACCTAACAACAAAAACCCCTAAAAGGCCAGGGACACATATGTGCTAAGCAAACATCTGATATCCTGATCACCATTAATAAACTTAGGGCGTTGAGCAGGTCTTGATCGTGAACAGAGCAGCCCTGCCCCTCCCTCACCCACAGGTACGGAGAGAGCACATGGCTGGAGAAAAAGGACTGTCAGCAGATCACCCAGAAATCCTGCAACCTGACCACAGAACTAGAACGCTTCAATGAGCCCTACTATGCCCAGGTGACAGCCAAGACCCCAGGGGGCAAGTCTGCATCCAGGATAAGCCACCGGTTCAGCCTTCCACAGGACAGTAAGTGGGAAAGGAAGGGAGGGTATACGGCAGGGGTGCAGGGGCTAGAGAACCTCACTTCTTTCCACCTCCACTCCCCTCCAGAGTCTGCAGGACCTCATCTCATCTGGCAACCACAGCATCCCAGCTCACATCCCCTACGCCCTTTTCCCACCCCTTCTCCACAGTGAATCAGAGAGATCTGTTCTAAGCATAAATCCAGCCTCTTATTCCCTGATTAATCCTCAAAAGACTGTCCACACCAAATCCAACCCATCCTTCTGCCATGGCATCAGTTGTGACTCATCCATCCAGCTTCTGAGCCTGCAAAACTTAATGGGAGAAGAGTGCCTCTCTTTCTCCTGTTGAGCCTGAATTTGCAGGGAGTTGTGAAGCACTATGCCCCCAAGACTCCTTGAATAGCTTCCCAGGTCTTAAAATAAGATCCAATTCCTTGCTGTGACCTTCAAGACCTGCTCCGTGGACCAAGTTCTTTTCTGCTGCAGGGCCTTTGCTGCCACCCCCACCCCCAATGCCTTTGCCCTCTCAGCTTATCACATGACTCTTTTCTGTCCTCTGATGTCACCTTCAGTGTCACTCCTATGTAAGACACCCCCCCTCCACCAGCCAAAGATCCTAATGTCAATAGATTTCCTCCTGTTGATTTTTTTTTTAACCAGAATACACTGTGGTGGCTGTGGTGGTGGTGGTGGTGGGTACTATCAAGTCAAAACCAAACCATAGCTGACCCTCCAGCAGATTTACAGAGGCAGTAAATCACACACCATATTGTCCATCCTACTCCCACGGAGCAACTGGTGGATTCAAACCAGGTGCTTTTGGGATTGCAACACAGCTTCTTACCATTAGGCCATCAGATCTCCACGTTCTCTTTATAATTCACATCATAAAGTGCATTTATTGCATTTCTTCATATATTTATTATCTGCCTCCTCCACTTGTGTGAGCTCCGAGAGGGTCCATGTGGGCTGTGGAATCCACCATCCTCCCTGATCTTAGCACAGGGCTTGCCACAGAGAAGAGCTCAGTCCCCGTTGATGAAGGAATGCATGAATTACTTAGTAGATATGAAACACCTAACTCCACATACCAGGGAAACAGGTCATGGTGATCACCAGTTGACCCAGCAATTACGTAATTTTTTTTTGAAGTCTAAAATACATAAGTTATTGTCTTTCTCTTCCTGGCTTGTTTCATTAAGATAGCCTCAGTAAGACTATAGAAATACACAAAGACAAATAAATAAAAATCACCTAGCATTATCTGAACCTTGGAACATAACCACAGTTGATTTTATAGTCTTGTTTTCCCATAGAATGGTGTCAGGAACAATTACTACTGTTATTAAATATTTATCCTCAGTCTAATGATTCACAGCTGTAAAATGAATCACTCTATAGAGGTACTTTATTTACCTAACGCTCTTTGTCTGACCTAACTCTTTTTGTGGGGACAATGAGCTCTGGTGGTTTTTTTCCCCAATTATATAAACAACGTTGAAGTGAACATCCATCCAGATCAGATATTTTGAATCTTGGTGGCCAATTGATCCTTGAAGAATTATTATTATTATTATTATTATTATTATTATTATTATTATTATTATTATTTTAGCAGTGAAGAAGATGAGCACCTTCATGAATTTCTGAGACTGGATGCAAAATTTTTATACAGGCAAATTTTAAAAGAGATCCATACCTTTGTCAGATTCTCAAAAGTATCTGTAAACTGTGGATCTTTTTGAAAATTCTATTTTGACCAAGACTGATATTTTAGGTCTGGTTTTTGAGGCTGAATGATGGTGTTGAGATTCCCAAGCACTATTAAGAACAAATAGTTGTATAATTCATCCCCCAAAGCTGTTAATAACAATAGAGAGGAAAGGTTTTGGGGTGCCATCGAGTAGGGACAGAGGGGTTGGAATATGTGAGGTATGGGCAAAGGCATGATCAATCCCAGGGACCAGTACCCCTTGTCCTGATTCCTTCCTTCCTCTCACTGAGAATATCCTTTGCCAATCTTGAACCCAAATACCAGTTACTTATGAACTTTTATCTTCTGTTTGCTTATTTTTTTGTTTTGTTTTGCATAGATTGGTGATTTGTGAGTATTCTATGTTAGTAATAATCTTTTTTATTTAAATAAAATTTTTATTTTATACTGGTTTACTTACAAAGTTCATATACACTGTTTTCACACCACATCCTTCCCATTTCCTTTGCCAGCCACCCCTCACTCCACCCATTAAGTTGTATGACCCTGTGATTAATCATCTCCCTACTCATCCTTACCCCTCTGCTCCCACTCTTCCCCCTTTGGATACACATTGTATAATAATGGTCGTATACAGTATTTGTCCTTATGAGACTGAGTTAGTTCATTTAGCATCATGTTCTCCAGTCCCTTCCAAATCAGGTAGTAATTTACAAAATCATTTCTCCTGGATGCTGCATAGTATTCCATTGTGTGAATATACCATAATTTCTCAATCCATTCAATTGTGGTTAGACATTTGGGCTGTGTCCATGTTCTTGCAATTGTGAATAATATTGCTATGAATATTGATGTACATACAAGTCTCCACTTATGCCTCAGTTCTCATTTTCTTGAGGTATATTCCAAGCAGTGGAATAGCTAGGTCATTTGAAATTTCTATGTTCAGCTTTTTGAGGAAGTGCCAAACTGCCTTTGAGAGTGATTGTACCATTTTACAATCCTATCAACAATGTATAAGAGTCTCTATCTCACCACATCTTCTCCAGCATTTATTACTTGCTGTCCTGTTAAACTTTGCCACTGCTACTGGGATGAGATGGTATCTCATTGTGGTTTTGATTTGCATTTCACTTGTTGCCAATAATTTAGAGCATCTGGCCATTCTAATATCTTCCTCTGTGAAAAGTCTTTCCATGTCTCTTGCACATTTTGTAATTGTGTTATCAGTCTTTTTCTTGTGGAGGCATTGTAGGATTCTGTAAACTTTTTATATGTGACCATTGTCTGAAATGGTATTGCCAAATGTTTTTTCCCCCCAATCAATAGGTTTTACTTTCACTCTGCTGGGAAAAGCTTTCTATGCACACAGGGATTTAATCTTTAGATAGCCCGTTCATCAATTTTATTCTCTCCAGATTGTACATTTCTGGCTATAATTGGCATTCTCTCTATTCCATAGACTAGGTTGTTGAGCTTGATCCCATTTTGTCTCTGATGAACTTTAAAGTTTTGGGCTTTACTCCCAGGTCTCTGATGCACCTTGAGTTGATTTTTGTGATGGGTCTGACATTTGGATTCTGTTTCAGGTTTCTACAGGTAGCAATACAGTTTTGCCAGCACCATTTGTTTAAGAGGTTGTAATTTCCTCATTTTATAGGTTTTATTTCCTAGTAGAATATCAGTTGATCATAGATATATGCGTCCATTTCTGAGTTCTCAATTTCGTTCCATTGGTCTAGGTACCTGTCATTGTACTAGTACCATGCTGTTTTGGTTACTACCACTACGTAGTAGGTTTTGAGGTCAGGGAGTGCTATGCCTCCCACTTCATTTTCGCTTTTCAAAAGTGCTTTGCTCATTTGGGGTCTCTTTTCTCTCCAAATAAATGTGACAATTTCCCTTTCCAACTTCTTGAGTATGGTATCTGTATTGGGATTGTGTTGAGCATGTAGATTGCTTGTGGCAGGATTGTAATTTTCACACTATTGAGTCTTCCTGTCCATGAACCTTTTTCCATTTCTTTAGGTCTTTTTGTGTGTCTCTAGTTATGTTAACTCCCAAGTATTTCAATTTGTGGTTGGCTAATGTAAATGGTATTGCTTTCTTAGTTTCCTTCTCATTCTCTTTGTGACCGTACAAGAATCCCACTGATTTTTAGATATTAGTCTTATATCCTGCCACTCTGCGCATGATCTTCGCAATCACTTGTTATGCATCAGAGAGTTGGACAATGACCAAGGAGGATAGAAGGAGAATTGATGCCTTTTTTTTCTATAATTATATTTTATTAATTTTCATAAACATTTACAGAGATTTGGGGCTTCCACTCATTCATTGTTGCACTATTCTCTCTACCCTCCTCCCAGTTTGTTCTTGTCCAAATGCCACAGTGCTTGTCAAAGCCAGTTCTGATTAATCTTCTTTGTCAGTGTGTCCTTTGCCATTCCCTATCACTCCTCCCTGAGAGAGACTTCACCCTGAGTCATAAGGAAAAGGGGATGGCGTATTCTCTTAGCTACTTCCTGCTGAAAAGGGACGCTGTGGGTTTCAGGGTGAAGATCTTCTCTCACTACTCTAAAGGGCCCCTTTGGCAGTAGGAAACACATAGACTATTATGGAGATTGATTTTGGAATTTAGATGCACTCTTATTGATTGTGCTTGGCTGTACATGTTCATATCCTTGAAGATGTATCATGGGGTGTTGCAACCTAGAAGGCACAAATTTGACTAACAAGTTATAAGTACATGAGTCCAAAAATTATGGAAAAGTAAAAGAAAAGATTCTTTCATTGTTTTACAAACCCTCCCCCAGGTCCCCTCCACCATGTAGCCCTCGCTCTAGTCTCCTGTGATGACAGAAATACCTAGTTATATATCTCTTTTAAACAGTTTTCTCCCTCCTCTGTTTCAGCGCAGTATACATTATTGAACCCATCTTACTCAGTCTCTCCCCAACAGTGGCATCATGTAATATTTGTCCTTTTGTGACTGGGATATTTCACTCAGCATAATGTTCTCCAGAGTCAACCATTTTGAATAATATTGCATGAGTTCCTTGTTTTTTAATGCAGCATAGTATTCCATTGTGCGAATATACCACAGCTTCTCTAGCCATTCGTTTGTTGACTGGTCCTTGGAGAGGGACATCATGCTTGGGAGGGTGGAGGGACAGCGCACGAGGGGAAGGCCCTCTGTGAGGTGGCTTGATTCAGTGACTGGGATAATCGGGATGGGAGTGTCAGAGACAGTGCAATTGGCACAGGACAGAGCAGAGTTTAGGGCTGTTGTACATAGGGTTGCTATGAGTCGCAAGTGACTCGACAGCACATAACCACAACAACAACATCCTGCCACTCTACTAGACTGGCCTACTAACAGCTTAGTTGTTGTTGTGAGTCCTTGGAGTTTTCTGTGTACACTATCATATCATCTGCTTATAGTAGTAGTTCAATCATCTTTTGCTGATCTGGAGACTTTTTCCCCCTTCTCTGTCATGTTAACCTAACAAGCACTTCCAATGCAATATTGAATAGAAGTGGTGGCAATGGGCATCCTTATCTGGTTCCTATTCACAAAACGCTTTTAGTCTTTATCCATTAAGAATTATATTGGCTCTTGGTTTTGCATATGTACTTTTCACCATGTTGAGAAAATTCCCTTCTAATCCAATTTTTCTGAGTTTCTTTATCAGAAAGGGGTGTTGGATTTTGTGAAATGCCTTTTCTGTATCAGTTGCTAAGATCATGTGGTTCTTGTTATTTGCTTTGTTAATATGGTGGATTACACTGATTGTTTTTCTTATGTTGAACCATCCTTGCATACCTGTTATGAATCCCACTTGGTCATGACGAATTATTTATTTTATGTGTTTTTTTATTCTATTGTCTAGGATTTTTGCATTTATTCATGAGAGATATTTATCTGTAGTTTTCTTCCTTGTTAATATCTTTTCCTGGTTTTGGTATTAGGGCTATGATTGCTTCATAGAGTGACTCTGGGAGAATTCCTTCTTTTTCTGTTTTTTTAAATAAGTTAAGTAGAATTGGTGATAGGCACTCTATGAATGTTTAGTAGAATTCAGCTATGAAGCCATTTCTTATAGGAAATCTTTTTATGACCTGTTCAATTTTTTTCTTTTGTGAGGGGTCTTTTCAAGTGTTCTATATCTATCCTTGTCGATCTGGGTAGGGCATGAGTTTCAAGGAAATTGTCCATTTCCTCTAGGTTTTCTAATGTATCAGAGTATAGTTTTTAATAGTATTTGGATATTATTGATTCTGTTGAGATGTCACCTCTATAATTTCTTAATTAAATTATCTGTGTCTTCTCTTTCTTTTTTCCCCCTTTTGTTAAGTTTGCCAGTGGTTTGCCAATATTATTGACCCATTTGAAAAAGTAGCTCTTGATCTTATTGATGGTCTCAATTGTTGTTGTTTTCTAGCTCATTGATTTCAGCTGTTGCCCTTTTAATTTCTTTTCTTTTAGAGGCTGTAGGATTAGATTATTGTTCTTTTTCTGTTTGATAAAATGTTGAGTTAGATCATTACTTTTCTTCTTCTTTTTTTTTAATGTGTGTGCCTATTGCTATAAACTGTCCCTGAGGACTGCCTTAGCTGCATCCTAGAGGTTTTGATATGTTATATTTTCATTTTCATTTCGTTCAAAGAACTTATTTTATTTCATTCTTTATTTCTTTTATAACTCAATTGTGTTCCAACAGAGAGTTATTTTGTTTCCACTTGGGTGGTTTTGTAAACTTTACCCTCCTGTGGTTAATTTCTAGTTTTATGGCATTGTAGTCTGAAAAGACACTTTGCATTATTTCAATGTTTTTTACTTTGTTGAGGCTTGCTTTGTGTCCTAATATGTGATCAATTATGGAGAATGTATCATGTACACTTGAGAAGAAAATTAATTGAGTTTTAGTTGGGTGTAGTACCCCGAATACATTCACAGGGTCGAGTTGGCTTATTGTATAGTTTAGATCTTCTGCATCTTGGTTGAGTTTCTTTTGTGTTGACCTATCCTTTGGTAATAGTGGTGTGTAAGTCTCCTAGCACTATTGAGGTGCTGTCTATTTCTTTCTTCAGTTATTTTCACCATTGTTTTATGTATTTTGCAGGTCTATCACTTGCTGCATAAATGTTGACCAAGGTTTTGTCTTTTTTATTTATTGGGCCTTTAATCAATCAGTATGTAATGTCCTTCCTTATCATTTATGGCGGTTTTCATTCTGAAGTCTATTTTATCAGAGATTAGTATTGCCACTCCTGCTTTTTTGTGGTTACCCTTTGCTTGGTATATTTTTTCCAGCCTTTGATTGAGTCTGTCTTTCTCTTCTCTCTCTCTCTTTTTTTTTTAATTTTAGATATGTCTCTTGTAGGCAACATAGTAATAGGCTTTGTTTTTATTCATTCTGCTACTCTTTTTCTCTTGATTGGCACATTCAGTCCATTAACCTCAAGTGTGATTATTGTCAGTCCAGGTTTTACTTTTGCCAATTTGCTGTATTTCTTTTTCTGTCATTTCTAGTTAGGATGGTCCATCCACTTTGGTGTCTTCATGTAAAGGACTTTACTTAAAATTTCTTGTAGTTTTGGTCTTGTTTTCAGAAATTGCTTAAATTCCTTTTTTTCTACAAAAGATCTCTTTCATATTTGATGGAGAACTTTGCTGGGTATAGGATCCTTGGCTGGCAATTGTTTTCTTTCAACTTTCTGTATATGCCATCTCATTGCCTTTTAGTTTGCATGGTTTCTGCTGAGATATCAGAACTTAATCTAATTCTTTCCCCTTTGTAGGTGAGTCTATTTTTTTCACACTACTATTAGTATTCTATCCTTATCTTTAATGTGGAGAATTTTAATATGATATGTCTTGATATTTTTGGAATGTTGTCTAGTCTATTTGGTGTTCACCATGCTTCTTGAATGCAGATTTCCTCATTCTTCAAAACACTTGGTAAGTTTCTTCTAGTACTTCTTCTAAGATTTTCTCAATGATGTCCCTGTCATTCCCATGTTCTGGAATTCCAGTCACATGTGTATTGTTCCTTTTGATGTCATCCCACATGATTCTAATGTTTTCTGCATTTTCTTTATGTCTCATCTCTGATTTTTCGTCTAGTATGTTTTCTGTGAGACTCTTATCTTCCAGCTCACTGATCCTCTGTCCCGTCTCTTCAGTCTACTTGTTTGTTCTCCCAGTGTGTCTAGGCACTTCTGCCAATTTGATCTTAATATTCTGGATTGCATTTTCATGCTTTTCTGTTATTTCCTGTACTATGTTAGCTGTACCCTCTTTGTTTTAGGATGACTTTTTAAGTTCTTGTACATCTTTATCTATAGTATCAATCCTTTCTTCCATCTTTTGCATTTTTCCCCATAGCTGTTCAAGTTGCTCCTCATAAATATATTTCTTCTTGATTGTTGACTCTGGGGTATTTGCTCTCTTAATGGCTTCCGTTGTTTCTTCCATCATTTGCAATTTTCTCTGTAGCTGTTCAAATAACGCCACATCAACATATTTCATCTGGTTCTCTCTATTTGGGGTATTCATTGGGTCTGCTTTTTTAGGAGAATTGTTATTTTGTTTTTTCATGATGACTGAGGCAGACTGATGCTTTCTTGACATTATGTGAGTCTTTTCTTACTAGGTGTTAGGTTGTTGTAACTATACAGTGACCCACAGAATGACTATGTTTTGCTCCCTTCTTGTGATCCACAGCTGTGTTTCACCCAAAGTACCTGTGATATTGGTGCTCCTGACACTGGGTAGTGGGGGGCAGCAGGTGGTGGGATATTGGGGTCTCCATGCAGAGGGGCAGCAGTCTAGTGCTCTGGGCTCAATTGTGGTTTAGGCCACACTGACACTACAGCCCCTCAACTTGGCAAGTGGTGGTTCTGTTGCTGGCCAGAATGTGAGTGAGCGGGCATGGGCTGAACCACAGCCTTTAGCAGATGCTGGGAAGTGGTGGCTGGAACATGCTCCTGGGACAGTCAGGCCACACAGGCTTTGGCATCTTGCAGCAGAGCGATGATTCTGTCCCCAACAAGCACACATCTCTCTCCTGTTTGTTTTGTTGCTTCTCTCAGAGTAGTATCTGGAGTTGTTATGGGAAGAGAGTAGAGAGGTCATTTCCCACCATCCCAAGCAGCCTAAAGACCAGTGGACAATTCTAAATTTTCTTTTGTCTTGTTTCTTTGTGCACCTGATACAGGCCATGGTCTTTGCAATCACTTGTTATGCATCAGAGAGTTGGATAATGACTAGGGAGGATAGAAGGAGAATTGATGCCTTTGAGCTGTGGTGCTGGAGAAGAGTATTGAATGTACCCTGGACTGCCAAGAAAACAAACAGATTCATCCTAGAGAGGGTTAAACCAGGCTACTCCTTGGAGGCAAGGATTCTGGGGCTTCGTCTGACATACTTTGGGCATGTTGCGAGGAGGGACAGGTCCTTGGAGAGGGACATCATGCTTGGTAGAGTGGAGGGACAGCGCAGGAGAGGAAGACCCTCTAGGAGGTGGATTGATTGAGTGACTGGGGTAATCAGGATGGGTGTGTCAGAGGCAATGTGATTGGCACAGGATAGAGCAGGGTTTAGGGCTGTTGTACATAGGGTTGCTATGAATCGCAAACGACTTGATAGCACAGAACAACAACAACAGCAACTTGTCTCTTTACATTTCCACAGCTACTATCAAACCACCTGATGTGACCTGTATCCCCAAAGTGAGATCTATCCAGATGATCATCCATCCCACCCTCATACCCAGATATGCAAATAGCCAGCAACTAACCCTGAAGGACATCTTTGATGACCTGTTGTACCACTTAGAACTCCAGGTCAATCACAGCTACAAAATAGTAAGTATATGTTGTACCTGGACCCTTCCATGCCTGAGAAACTCCTTTTCCAATCAATTAAGTCACCACTGCTTTACATAGTTGTGTGTTATGTTGTGTTAAGTGCCATCGAGTCAGAACTGACCCATAGCTGACCCTCCAGCAGGTTTTTAGAAGCAATCAATTGCATAGGAGGAGATCGCCCATCCTCCTCCTGCTTAAGTAGATAGGAGACATATAAATTAGCATTTCCAAAACATCTGTCCTTTGGGAGGCTCCCTTAAACCTAGTAAACATCACAAACCACAGCCTTCTTCTTGCTAAAAGGCCCTGAGAAGTCCTGCAGCCAGACTCTAGTTTCACTTTGGTTAACACAAAGTCTCTCAAATGCATTTAACCAGAGATTGTTTTTTTTGTGTACTACATAGACTATTTTTGGCCTAATATCTGTTAACATCCAGGGAGAACAAGCTCTGTTAACCCCTGCAGTAATCCACACTGGGAGGTGTTGATATAAGTTTCTATTGCTGCGCTTCTTTTTGCTGGTTCTTCTTTACGGGTGGTTACTGGACACAAGTAGATTCCAAAGATTGTCAGTAATTATAGACGAAGGCACAGCCATAGATTAACAGATGATAGAAAAGTTATTTCATTTAAAAAAAATCTGATATTTTTTTCCTCCTACTATGTGACACTAATTCCATTGAAGGAATATCTTGCTCAGGCTGGCCTGCTCTCTGATCCATGCACTAAGGGGGTTTATCATCTTGTGGATAGGAAAGGAGTTTAAACAAGAATCCAGGCATCTATAGTTAGGCCAAACAGAATGTCATGCGGGCAATAGTATCAGCTTCCAGGAAGATTTTATAGTTGGTGCCAATAGCAACTTCTGAGCACTTACTGTTCACAAGGCAATGTGTCCTCGTTACAGCTCTGTGAAGTTGCTGTGCTCTCCATTTTTACATGAGACAAAGTCTCTGAGAGGTTAAATCATTTCTTTAAAATTGTCTAGCAAATTATGGAATAGCCCGGAGTCAAGCTCCGTTTGATCCAAAGATTACCTTTTTGTCTCAACTGTTCTGCTCTGTTCCACCCTGATGTCAGAGAGAAACGGGGAAATTCCAGGCCCTTCAGAAAACACAAAGCTTCTCCAGTTGGCTGGAGCATAGGAAGGTCCCAAACAAGCGCATCACTACTCCTGTGAAGTTGTTGTTGTTGTTGTTATGTGCCGTCGAGTCATTTGCGACTCATAGCAACCCTATGTACAACAGCCCCTAAACCCTGCTCTATCCTGTGCCGATCACATTGCCTCTGACACACCCATCCCAATTACCCCAGTCACTGAATCAATCCACCTCATAGAGGGTCCTCACTCCTGTGCTGTCCCTCCACCCTACCAAACATGATGTCCCTCTCCAGGGACCTGTCCCCTCCTTGCAACATTCCCAAAGTATGTGAGACGAAGCCCCAGAATCCTTGCCTCCAAGGAATAGCCTGGTTTAACCCTCTCCAGGATGAATCTGTTTGTTTTCTTGGCAGTCCAGGGTACATTCAATACTCTTCTCCAGCACCACAGCTCCAAGGCATCAATTCTCCTTCTATCCTCCCTAGTCATTGTCCAACTCTCTGATGCATAACAAGTGATTGCAAAGACCATGGCCTGTATCAGGCGCACCTTAGTCTCCAGAGAGACACCGTTGCTCTTGAGTACTTTAGAGAGGTCCCTAACAGCAGACTTTCCCAATGCGATATGTTTTTTATTTCCTGGCTGCTGGTGCCAAGAGTGTTGACTGTGGAGCCAAGCAAACTGAAGCTGTGAACAAACTCAATCTCTTCGCCATCCATCCTGATGCTACCAATTGGTCCAGTGAGAATCTTTGTCTTCTTGACATTGAATCTTAGTCCATACTGAAGGCTACAGTCCTTGACTCTCTGGAGCAAGTGCATGAGGTTCTCCTCAGTTTCAGCTAGCAGGGTTGTGTCATCTGCATAAGGCAGATTGTTAATAGATCTTCCACCAATCCTGACACCACACTTCTCCTCATAGAGCCCAGACTCTCAGATAATCTGCTCTGCATACAGGTTGAAAAGGTATGGAGATAGGACACATCCCTGGTGTACACCCTTCCCAATTTTGAACCATGCAGTGTTACCCTGCTTTGTTCTGATGAGTGCCTCTTGGTCCAAGTATAGGTTTCGCATTAGCACGATTAAATGTTCTGGGATTCCCATTCTTCTCAGAGTCAGCCACAGTTTGTTATGATCCACACAGTCAAATGCCTTTGCATAGTCAGTGAAACACAGATAGACATTCTTCTGGTATTCCCTGCTTTCAGCTAAGATCTATCTAACATCAGCTACAATATCTCTAGTACCACGACCCCTTCTAAACCCAGCCTGGACTTCTGGCAGTTCTCTGCTGATGTGCTGTTCCAGTAGTTTTTGGATATCTCTTTAAAATACAGCATGTGGGCCCCTCCCAACCTGCTGAATTAACCTCTGCAGATGCATCCCTGCAGTGAGCTGTGATGATAATGATGATGATGATGATGATGACAGTCATAGCCTTAGATCTGGAAAGTAAGGTCCCAGATGTCACCAGGGTGGATTACCAATAAGCAAGGTAAGCCTGGACTGACTTGTGCTTATTTCCTAATATGTGGTGAAACCTGTGCGAAATTGTTCATGACTGATTAGTAAGTAAGCACTAATAAACCCATGCTTACCTGGCTCATTGGATATTCTAGTATCCAGTTAGAGATTGTAAATATTAAAAGAGGTTTTGATTTGTGGGAAGGTGCTATAGGTTTGGAAAACAAACAGTTGTACCTAGAAACAAATTTTGACATCGTGAAAGAATGTGAGATTGTTCACTACAGATTAGTAGTAGTAGTTGTTGTTGTTGTTAGGTACTATTGATTATGACTCATTGTGACCCTATGAACAACAGATCTGTACCTGCTCTATCCTGTGCTGTCCTCACACTTCCTGACACACAAAAGCCCATTGCAGCAGTCACCATGTCAATCCACCTGGTAAGGGTCTTCAACAACCCTCCATCCTTCCCGGCATCTTGTCCTTTTCCATGGAAAAGACAGACCCTCCTCTCAACATGCCCAAAGTATGTGAGGTGAAGCCTCATCATTCTTGCCTCCACAGAACACTCCAGCAACACCCTCTCCAAGTTATATGTGTTTTTTCTCTTGGTCATCCATGGGATGTTCAATGCTCTTCAACACGAGAGCCCAAAGGTGTCAATTCTTCTTCTGTCATCCTTATTTATTGTCCAGCTCTCAGACAATCAGGATCTGGTGGGAAGGCCTTTTTTACAGATTAGTAGATAAGCACAAATAAGCCAATGCTTGCCTTGCTTATTGGATATTCCGTACAAATGGCTTGTTCTCAACTACTATCATAATGGCTTGGAGATTGGAGCCCAGCTTTGTGGAAGAATCTGCGTCAGTCCCAGTTCCAGCCAAGCAAAGCCTATGGAGCAGTACTGCTCTCTCACATACAAGATCACCATGAGTCAGTCAACTTGATGGCAACTGGTTTGAGCTTTACTTTTTATTTTGGTTTGTTTTGTTACTAGAAGGGCAGGCCCAGTGCTAACTGAAAGCATATAGAATTTCCTAACTTATAAGTCATATCAGGCTGTGGTGATAAAGCAGAAGATAAAGAACTAGGAATGGGGACCAGAGAAGAACCCACAGTTTCTGAGTTGGGAGCAGAAAGTGCCATTATACTAAACAAGATAGCCCATGAGCAGTGTGAACAGACCTTCTAGAGTCTGTGTGGAAACTGATGTGTTAAAGGTATCTGTCTGGCTTCTCTATCACCTTCAGCACCTTGAAGGGACACAGAGAGAATACGAGTTCCCTGGTCTGAGCCCTGACACGGAATTCCTCGGGAACATCATGATTTCAGTTCCAAGATGGTCCAAGGAGAGTGCCCCCTACGTGTGCCGAGTGAGGACACTCCCCGGTAAGTGCCGCTGAAGTCACAGGCACAAGGAAGTCCTGGCTCCAAGGGCTGATTTTCCCTGCCCTCCTGGTAACCAAGGTGAGAATTGGCAGTGCTCTGAAAAGCCGTGGGAAGGTTATTAGTTTTTTATTAAAATTAATCTTTGTTTATACATAAATGTGTTAGCTGACAGGTACCAAAGCAAATGTTTAATCTGCACCCTCTAGCCTGTGGTTGAGTTTCCTCTCTGTGGCAAACTGTGTGTGTATTCTGGTAAAACAAATTCACCTTAATATTAACCCAAATCATATATACCCTGGGAGGAGGGGGAGAAGGAGGCCAAAGAAGATACAGAGATGTCTCAAAAACTCAAGTACTTCGGGCATGTTATCAGGAGGGCACTGTGGACATGTTTCCTTGGAAATAGGCATCATGCTGAGAAAGGTGGAGGTCAGAGAACTAGAGGAAGACCCTCCATGAGATGGATTGATACCGTGACTGTAGCAGTGAGACCAGGTGTGGGGCAAAGCCTGAGGATGATTCAGGATAGGACAAGGGCCAGATCTGGTCATAGGGTCAACCTGATGGCACCTAACAACAACAACAACAACGATGACAATAACTAGTATTTCTGCAAGATGAACAATCTCCTCCTACGTGATTTATAGCCTCCCACAACCCTGCTGGAAGGTGAGCTATGAATCTTTCTGGCTCGACTGAATGGGTGAATCAGAACTGTATAGTATTATGAGTCCCTGAGCAACACAAATGGCCAACATGCTCAGCTCTTTATTGAGAAGGTGAAGATTCCAATCCTCCTGCAGACACTGAAGACAACAAGCTTGACATTCTGCTTCCAAAAAATTAGCCACTAGAAACTCCTGTGGAGCACAGTTCATCTGACACACACAGGGCGGTTTGAGTCATAATTGACTCAGCAGCAACTAGAACCAGGTACCAGGCACAGTCCTCACAAGTGGTCTATGCAGCAGATCTATTAGCTCCCTCATTTAACAGATGAAGAAAAGTGAACCCAAGCAGCTTAATTCTGAAGAACATGTTCTCACTGCCGTGTTAGCACAGAAATAGTCCTGAATCATCTACTTGAAGAGGAGATGTCTCAGTCTCCCTTTCTCTCTACACACACCTGAAACCTGACCCTTGCTATAAGCATCATGATGCTTTTATTAAGGTTTATTTTCATAGACAGATAAAAAATACATCAATGCTCAGAGCTGTAGGTTTAGAGGATGAAACTGATAGCAGTGTGTTGGATGGCTTTAGGAAAGAGTTTCAACCCTAGTCATCATGTTTAGATTAATGATGAGATTAATAATGTCAGTGAGTTCTATTCCATTTGTTCCTCATTGTTGTTATGTGGCTGGGGTCAATTTCAACATGTAACAAACATATGTGACAGATTATAACTGCTCCCTAAGATTTCATAGGGTTTTGTAGCCTGAAATCTTTCTAGGAACAGCTCACAGGTCTTTCTTCTGATCTGGATGGGTTTGAACCTCTAGTCTTCTGGTTAGCAGTTGAGTGCCTAATCATTGGACCACCAGGGTTCCTTGCCAACATTCAGAGCAGCGTTAATGTGAGGTTGGATATAGCACCTATAATGGTGGCAACAGGAGATCCGCATGGAGCGTGAGGGGACCTGGAGAAGCTGGGCTTGTGATAGTTAGCTGTCCATCTGAGCAGAGGCTGGGCCCCCGGGGGCAGCTGTAGAATTGTCAAAGGACAGCTGCTAGTTGGTCCTCAGCTTTGTGCAGAAACTCAATTCCTCGGTTTTCCCGGGAGCCCAAACAAGAGTGGTTTCTCCTCTGGGCTCCTGTCCCATTACAGGGGAAGGAATGCCTAGTGGAGCAGCTGGCACTGGCCACTTGCACGCAGCATGTCCTTCCTGGGGAAAGGGCCCCTGCTGAGACCAGAATAGAACCTGGCAAGAGGAGGACTGGAAAAAGGAAAGCCACTTATGGGATCTGAGCTGACAGCATGTACGTGATTTATGACCCTCTTCCCTGACTGATACCAGACACATCTCACTCATCCCTCCCTGCAGCCCACCCTTCCTGCCTTCAGACAACATCTACACACTGTTCTAGTTTTCTCTTTTATTGGATTTCCTTTACATGAGCGAGTTCATGCACTAATGCCGTTTATATTTACGGGTATAGTCTTTTACACAAGTCACACTTCTTAGTGACTGATTCTTGTTGATGTATGTTGTTGTTGTCAAGTGCCACTGAGTTAATTATGACTCAGTGACCCTAAGGACGATTGCTCTGAACCCCATCCAATCCTGAACCATCCTCATCATCTCCGACACTCGAGCCCACCTTTACAGTCACTGCTTCAAGCCATCTCATTGAGGATCTTCCCCTCTTCGCTGACCCTTGACTTTCCAAGCATAGTGTCCATTTCTAAGCACTGGATCGTCCTAACAATACACCCAAAATATGTGAGACAAAGTTTTACTATCCTTGCCTCTAAGGAGCACCCTGGCTGCACCTTTTCCAAGACATACCTGCTTACCCTTTTGGCAGTCCATGGGATATTCAGCACTCTTCTCCAAGACTACAACTCAAAGGCATCAATTCTCTCATCCTTATTCATTGTTCAACTGTCGGATCCATAGCATGTAATTGAAAAGATCATAATTTGGATCAAGTTCACCTTAATCTTCAAGCTGACGTCTTTGTTCTTCAACACTTGTATCTTTGTCTTTGAAATGGCTTATATCAATAATATATCCTGTCATTTTAAAGCACTCAACTGTCTTGCTAAGGCAGGGAGATCTAGTGGCCTAGTCCTTAGGGCATTTTGATGCTAGCCCAAAGGTCACACCTCTCAAGTGATTTGAGTCCACCATAGACTCCTCTAGAGAAAGGTGGGAATCTCCTCTCTGAAAACGCATTGGAGTTTTAGCTGTAAGTCAATTACAACTCAATGGTAATTAACTTTTTAGCAAGTATATTGCCAAGTATAAAGCCATGGTCCCAAGCCAAATGTGGGTGACTCTAATCCACGGACCTCAGGCCTGCCTTTAATTGTTTTTGGTGAAATATTCTTCTAGATCGTGTAACCCTGGTACAGAGGTAACTCGTGGTTGCTGTGAAGCCGAATATTGTCATCCAGGGTAGACAGTGTTTGGTGAAGCTCCCCGATTAGGCACTGAAGGCTAGGCACTGAAGCCCTCAGAGACAGGAGGACAGATCCTGCCACTGTCACTTCTCCCCACTGACCCATACCCCCATCCTTAGGCCCAGGTGACAGGGGACCACCCCTCAGCCCTACACATTAGATGACACCTTGAGGAGATGGAGTCCACATAGCCAAGAGGACAGGTCCACCTCAAGTCTTTCAGTCCCTTCTCATCCATTATCTGGGTCCTGTACCCCAAGTCCCCTGTGCAGACAGCTCTGGCCTGCATCCAGTCAGTGCAGATCTCTTCTTGGGCTCCTTCCCTGCGGACAGACTGAGTGAAGACCCAGTTCAACGAGTGGCCATTTGTAGGTACACGAGTGACCTTAGTTGTTCAGTCTGGGGTGTCCATGTGCAGTGGACCAGGCTTCTGGCCTCACGGGGCTCTCCCTCCCCTCCACACTTTCTCATAGTACCCCAAAGAGTCCAAGACTTAGAATTCAAAGCTGAATTTCCAGGTTCTTATGAAGACTGCATTTGTCAAGGTGAGAACACAGCACCTATTTGATTTAAAAGTGTAGCATCATAATGCAGAGATTGTAGATATTCAGACATAAATGTGGTGTGTGAGTTAGGTCGCTGGATGGTGGGAACTGCTCTTTTTAGACTACTAAAGAAAAGATTGGTGTTCTGAACCCACCACCCATGAAAAAAACCTGAAACAAAGCCAAACAAACAAAAAAAAAAAACCAACCCCAAACACTTGATCATTTTCCTCTGGAAACGTTACAGCTAAGAAAACCTATGGAGCAGTTCTACTCTGTTACAGGTGGAGACAAACTGAGTTGGAACCAGCTCAGTGATAATTGGTCTTGTTTAGTTTTATGGTCTGTGTACCTTCACCCTGGCTCTGACCCTGCAAATATTGGGGTGGGAGAGGCCTCCCAAGCTTCACAGACAGGGTGGGATATGAAAAGTTCCAAGCCCGCAGCTCACTCACTTGGGATCTAGCGCAGACCCAGACCCCAGCCTCAATTTCCTCTTCCATCTTCTTGGCTTACTCAGATCTAACCTGGACCTACTCCTTCTCGGGCACCATCCTATTTGCCATGGGATTCCTCGTGGCTGCCGTATGCTACCTGAGCTACAGATACATCACGAAGCCGCCTCAGCCACCGGACTCCTTGGTGAGCAGTCCCGGAAGAGTCGGGAGGGAAGATTGAGGGAAGGGTTAGAAGTAGCAGAGCACACAGTCCCGGGACCCTTGGTATTCCTTCAAGTGCAGGCTTTCAGAAAAAAGCAGAAACCGGGTCGGTTGCTCTCCCTGAGGAATTCACAGTCCAACTGAGAGCTAGAGAAAGCCTGGCCAGCAGGTCTGAAAGTGCATTGCAGAGAGATAGGGGTCAGAAATAGTGGCTATGGAACAACCAACGCACAGCTTGAAAGCATGCAGAGCCTGGCAGCTACCTCTGGCATCCAGGGAGCAGGCTGCCGAGGAGGGTGGAGAACGGGAAGAGGTGCAGGCTGTGGGAACCGCACTGCCCCTCACACCCTCTCTGGCTGGAGGGCCAGATATGGCCACATGTGAGTGTAGCTCCAGAGTTCCCAGATCCTCCCATTTTCCTCAAAAGAAGCCATTGTTTCCGGTTGTGATGTGAAATCCCCAATGTCCAATATGAAGAGACATTTCCTGTAGATTTCTCAGCTATCCCTCAGTCCCATCCTTTCCCAGCCAGTCCTCTGCAAGGCCCTGGGAACTAGGCAGGCGGGGAGGTGGGGTCTAGGAGCAGAGAGGGCTCCACCTGGACAGTGTACTCTGAGCCAACCCCGTTTGATTCCTTCTTCCTGGACTGTGTATTCCCAGAGGTGTTGACATAGCAATGGCGGTTCAGTTCTGAACTTCTTGTTCAGGTGACTTCCATGCAGAAGACCCAAGTTCAATTCCCAGTCAAAGCCTTCCTTTATACTCATCACTGTGAGTGGAGGCTCAAATGTTGCTATGATGCTGGAAATGTTAGAGTGGAGCTTCCAGACCAAGATGGTGAAGGAAGCAAGGCCTGGCTATCTACATCCAAAACTCAGCCACTGAAAACCCTACAGGGCACAGTGGTCCCCTGGAACCCTGGGACCCCATTGCTCACAGGGTTGCCAGGAGTTGGAACCTCCATGGGAACACTAAGAGAAACCAGGGTCTAAATCTCCTCCCCTGAGATAACCTGGACTCTGGAAGAGGCCCTTCCCTAGAGGTCTTGGAGCCCTGTCCCATCCCTGAGGCCCCAGGATAGAAAGGAGTCTAGAAAGCATGGGGGATGTGGGGCACCCATGTCATGAAGCAGCCCCCAGGTGCCTCTCTGTGTGGCATCTCACATCACCATGGACCTAACAAGGTGGGCTATTGTCCCCACACAGAATGTCCAGCGAGTCCTGACTTTCCAGCCACTGCAGTTCATCCAGGAGCATGTCCTCATCCCCTCCCTGGACCTCAGAAGCTCCAGCAGACGAGCCCAGAACGTCCACTACTCGAGGGTGAAGGTAGCTGGGCCCAGGGAACCCCTGGAGATCCCACGCTTACATGACTCACCTGAGATCGCCTACATGGGGCAGTCAGACATCTCCATCCTCCAGCCCCGCAATGTGCCACCTCAGCAGACGTGCCCCCCACCTTCTTATGCCCCACAGATCATCCCCAAGACCAGGCCTGCATCCTACGCCCCTCAGGCCACCCCTAAAGCTGAACCTCCAAGCTACTCTCCACAGACGATCTCCAAGATCCCACCTCCTTCCTATGCCCCTCAATCCACTCAGGACAGCTGGCTTCCATCCTATGGGGTGTTCATGGAAAGTTCTGAAAAGGACTCCCCATCTGTGTCGCTCTCTAGTCCTAAGCACCTCAGGATTAAAAGTCAACTCCAGAAAGAGGTTCTAGCCAGAAGCCATATCCTAGATGGCCTTTCTCTACAGCCTTTGACCTCCTTGACTATGGAAGAACCCCAAGAAGCAAAATCCCATAACCAGTATCTGGGGTTTCCCACGGACACAGAGTCTGATCTGAATGAAGAGACAGAACTATCAGGTTACCTAAAAGGCCAGCTGCCCCTGCTGTCCTCTGTCCAGATTGAGGGCCACCCTGTGTCCCTCCGTTTGCATACCCCTTCCCCCCCATGTTCCCCCTCAGCCGAGGATCTGAATCACTGTAGCCTGCTGGAGTCCCTTGTGTGTGCCAAGGATGAGGGGCCAATATCCAAGACAGAGACAGAGGACACAGGAGCTCGGACTCCAAGCATGGAACAGCAAGTTGAGGTGAACTCACTCTTCAGAGTCATGGCTCTGACGGTGCAGTGGGAGGCCTGAAGGGTGGTGGCTAGCAGAATGCTGGCCTCCCTGCCTCCACTGACTACACATCTTCAGTTGTCATGTACACCATGTGTACACTCTGAGCTCCAAACCCAGGTGGGCACCCTTGAGAAGGTCAGAGGGAGGGCACACAGGCACCCTACCATGGCAACCTGGGTCCACACAGGACCCTTCCCCCTGGCAGAAGAATGAGATGTGATGAGGACCGGAGGAGCTACAGGTAGAAAAGTGTACAAATGAGCATGTGTACAGGCCCTGCAGGGCAGGACGGGACAGTCAGTGCAGGGAGCCTTCCCCAGACACAGGGCCCCAGCTCTCCAGGAGCCTGGCTCTCTTCACTCTGTGCTTGGCCAATTTCATAAACTGGTTTGGACCGAGAGTGAGGTCTCTGCCCCTTTGGTGAGGCTTATGCCTCCTCTGTGATTCCCCAAAGATGAGAACAGGAGCCTGGGAAAGGATGTCTCATACCAGGCTGGGCAGAACTAGGACAGCTGACGCTCCTGCCAAAGCCAGAGGCTGTGCAAGGGCAAGGCTCCAAGGACGGGTGCGGCCTGGGGCTCATGCCCAGCCAGGGCTGCCGCCTGAAATGCCACCATTTTTACCTCTTTCACTCCTTTGCTAGTCTTTACTCAGGTAAGATGCAGATCCACTGGATAAAGAGAGCAGGCTTTAGAGGAACATGGGCCAGGAAGCCCTTGAAGGAGTCAACAGCAAACCATACTTCCTCCACAACTTTGGAAACTCATACTTGAGCTTCATCCTACGGGTTCTAATACCAGCCTTGCTTCATATGTCTTCATGCCAAAGAATCATAGCTCAGATCCTCATTTTTCTCATCTGGAAAATGGGCTTGATGATACACAGGGTTGTGGTGAGGATGAAATAAAATAATGCCTGTTAAGTATGTAAGCAGTGTAGCTGTTTCCTGTTGCAATTTCTTAAATCGGGCAGCATAGCCAGCAACTTCCTGCTTTGGGCTGGCATTTGAATCACCCAACATTTTCTCATAGGTACAGACACACTAATTTCCTTTCTCCAGAATCTCTCCAGGCCAAGCTGTGTCTGAGTTGCCTGGGTTGGACAAAGGGAGGGAATCTTCTGGAACAGGATCCAGAGACAAATGACATCATATGTTGGAGGTGTTTGGGGACAGTGGTAGGAACCCTAGACAATCACCATTACTGAGCCCCCCAGGCCTCCACTCAGGCCTGTCTCCCCCACGCTCCACTGGAGACAGCACTGGCTCTCCACTGTCAGCTTGTGCCTGAGTCCAGGTGAGAGACAAGTCCTCATGTTCCGTGACTCAATGTGCTGTCACGTGCTTTGTGCTCTTTGCCTCTCAGGTGACCCCTGATCCCCGAGAAGGCCAGGGACTCACCCAAGACCCCACAATGAGGCAGTGACAGAGTTGCTCAAGCCTAGGACTTTCTGTCCTCATCAACAGAAAGGAACATTCCACACCTGTTTAAATTCTTGGAGAATGAGATGACTTGGGTGTAAGGAAAGGAGGGCCCCTACCGGGGTTAGTACTGAGGAATACATGCACCAAAACCTGCTTAAAAACTCTCCCCAAAGTCCTGAGAATTTCTAAGAAGGGATGAAACTCTAATGACCTCAGGTACCCTTCTGAGAGTGCATGATGTTCTTTGTCTACTCCCAGATACGTCTCCCTTCCCGGCCCTCCCTTCAGCACAACGGTGGAGTGCTTATCTATTTGTAATTAATATTTAACCTCTCTTCGGGGTCACCAGTTTAGACCCAATAACCCCGTCACAAGGGTGGGTCGTTCCCATGAGCACCCCGGCAGCTGTAACTCTCTGTCCTAGTGACCACTCCTCACCCCCACCCACCACTGCAAACAAGCCAGCTTCCTGTCACTCGTGGCAGACTTGGCCAAAGGTTGTCTGGTCTTCACCTTGCTTATTAATAAACAACTTAGCAGCTGGATTTTTCTCAGGTAAGTAAGACAGGTGTTTCTAAAAGCTGCTTTATTAAAAGCAATTTGACTCACAGGGTGTCTCAGGCTCTCTGCTCCTTCAGGGCCACAGACTTAATTGTCACAGATTGGAGTCTGGGTGACCACAAGGGGGGAATGGCCATATTCTGTGACCTCCTTGGACTGAATCCTGTCCCTCCTGAGGGATGAGCACACCAGGCTGAATAGCCCCTAAGACCTTCCGTCTTCCAGTTGTTGTTGTTGTTTGCTGTCGAGTCAGAACCAACTCATAGCTGATCTTCCAGAAGGTTTTCAGAGGCAGTAAATCACATGGGAAGAGACTGCCTATCCCTCTCTCACAAAGTAGTTGGTAGATTTGAATCAGGTGCCTTTGGAATTATAGCACAGCTTCTTACCACTAGGCCACCAGAGCTCCCTACAGTCTCCCAGTTGTTGTTGTTGTTGTTGTTGTTGTTGTTGTTGTGTGCCATTGAGTTGCTTGTGACTTATAGAGACCTTATGTACAACAGCTCTGAAACCTGCTCCATCCTGAGCCAACCTTACTGTGTCTGACACACCTACACTCATTACCCCAGTCACTGGGTCCATCCATCTCATAGAGGGTCTTCCTTTCTTATGCTGTCCCTCCCCCTTCCCAAGCATAATGCCCCTCTTCAAGGACTAGTCCATCCTTACAACATGCCAAAAGTATGTCAGACAGAGCTTCAGAATCCTTGCCTCCAAGGAGCAGACTGGTTTCAACCTCTCAAGGGTAAACCTGTTTGATCTCTTATCAGTCCATAGTATATTCAATGCTCTTCTCCAACATCACAGCTCAAAGGCATAAATTCTCCTTCTATCATCCCTAGTCATTGTCCAGCTTTCTGGCACATAGCACATAACGGCAAAGACCATGGCCTGGATCAGGTGCACCTTAGTCTCCAGACAGACATTGTTGCTCTTCAGTACTCTGGAGATATCCCTGACAGCAGACTTTCCAAATGCAATTTGTCTTTTGATTTCCTACCAAGAGTGTTGATTGTGGAGCTGAGCAAATGAAAGTCTCCCAGTAGAGGACTGAATTGCCATGGCTTTGGTGACAGTGTCAGAGCTGGGCTAGAGGTCTTGGCATTCCTGAGGTCTATGCCCTGGCTTCAAGAAGAGGGATATCCAGAACCCAGTTCAGTCCCAGGAAAGAGGTCTCTGAGTGCTGCAGGGCCACACCGAGAGTGAACTGATAGTGGTGATGATAGCAGTGATAGTAACAGGAAAGAGATAATAACAAGGAAGCTTTGCCGCTCATTTTCCTGTTAATACATACTTTGCCAAGGAGGAAAGTGTAGCCTAGAGAGGTAACTTGCTATAATTAACAAACCGTGCTTCATGAAGATAATCCTCTGAAAAGCTTACTAAAACACAGCTTTCCCATCCTGGACAGCTGCATCCACAGCACCTTGGAGGGGCACAGAAATAAGCATTTGTAATTTAAAAATAACTTCCTTTGGTGAATCTCATGAGGCAAGTGGAAGAAACAGTATCTCAAACTACCCACCTTCAGTCACCAGCGAGACAGGGAGTTGAGCTTCTTTGATAGTGTCTGTATACATCTGATCGTCAAAGTCCTCTCCCCACAGCACCATATACAGGGTGTCCTAGGTAGAATAGAATTGGTGAGACTAGAGTCCCCAGAGAGCCAGATCCTATGCTCACCTCCATCCCCAGGCTTGGACTAAGATTTGATACCCTGGAAACCCTATCGGGCAGTTCTGTATCTTCTAGCAGAGTCACTGTGAGTTGGAATTGACTCAGTGCTGAAGGGGTGTTAGTACCCTTGCCAGGCTCATTGACTGGGGGCTGCAGGAAGACCATGACCTCTCAGTAGATCCTGACATCATTTGACTGCACTGCTGCAGCTGAACAGAGAACTCTGGTGGCCTACAGGGAAAGGAGTTGCACTGCTAACCCAAAGGCAGGCAGTTCAAATCTACCAGCTGCTCCAAGAGAGAAATGTGGACAATCTCCTCTCAAGCAATTTACAGACGCTGAAAACCTGCAGGAGGGTCAGCTGTGACTTGGTTCTGAGTTGAGAGAATGAGTTGAGGTTAAACTGACTTCAGCTTAAATGGCAAACTCTTTCTGGAAGGACGATCAATGGCTGTGCCTCCGTGGTTGCTACATATGGGAGCCTTTATCAAGCACTTGCTAGTGACAAGACCGTATACATGTAGAATCAGGGTGGAGGCAGACTAATGCACCACCTTCATTATACATTTGGCACAACCTTGCTTGCTGAAAATGAAGATAACTTGAGGCATCAAGGACTACAGCCTTTAATGTGGATTACATCTCAACACCAAGAAAACAAAAATCCCCACCAATGCACACAACACAATAGATGGAGAAAGATTGAAATTGTCAATGATTTCATCTTACTTGGATCGGCCATCATCACCCTTGGTACCAGCAATTAGGATATCAAGGGATGTACAGTGTTAAGAAAGTCTGATGTTAAAAAAAAAAGTCTGATGTTGAGGACCTCTCCAAATTACTGAAGAGCAATGATGTTAGTTTAAAGATTAGGGTGCATCTGATTCAAGCCATGGTCTTCCCATTCACCTGCTATGCATCTGAGACTTGGACAATGACAGGAGAATTTATGTCATTTGAGTTGTAGTGTTAGAGAAGACTACTGAATATCCCATGGACTGCCAAAAGAACAAAGAAGTCTTGGAAAAATTGTAGCCAGAGGGGTGCTTACAGGCAAGGATAATGACACTTCATCTCACATACTTTGGGCAGGTAGTTAGGAAAGGCTATTCCTTGGAAAGAGACATCATGCTTGTAAAGGGTCAACAAAAGAGCAGAAGAACTTCAACAAGATGGACTTATACAGTGACCACACCAAAGGGCTCAAGTGTGTTGGGGTTGGTAGGGATAGTGCCAGGTAGAGCAGAGTTCATAGTATCGTCTCTGAGTTGTGTTCAACTCAATGGCACCTCGCAACACAACAGTGACAGAATCTTGCCAAGAAACACCATGAAATTTAAATGTAAAACAGTTG